AAAAAAAAAAAAAAAAAAAATAAAAAAAAAAATAAACACATCATGGTAAAATTAATACCTTCTCAGCTTCGCATCGAAGCTAAAAGTAGTTGGGGTGCGCAAAAAAACAAAAAAAAAAGTAGAGGAGTTCCGTCCCCCTGCGCACCCCCCCCCCACCAATCCGAGCACTGCATACATCCCTTTCATCAACTAATAGGTCCCCAAAAACACATTTTACGAATACCGAATAGTAAGAAAAAATTATTTCTAAACACAATTTTTAAGGGTAACTTTTGTAAGTTAAATGGGAACCTATTATTATTATTTTGTTACTAAATGAACAATGTTCTAAATAAAATTTGGACTGGTCGATAACCAGTTTATTTTATTACTTTTTAAGATATTAGCATTTAAAGATTTCGAAAAAATGAAATGCAGGATAGTGTTTAGCAACGCTTATTTTAACTTACAAATAAGAATTTTTCAACGTTATGCACTCTTCTCACCTATAACTAAAAATTACATTTACTTAAAAAGTAATAATACAAAACTGGTTAGTGACTAGTAAAAATTGTATTCATTTACTATTAATTAACTACTACATGAAAAATGGTCTAACATTCTTCGTTTAATAGTAAAAAAGTAATTATAGGCTCCCATTTAACTCATGGAAGTGCTCCAAAAATTTACTCTTAGACTATTAACTTAGAAATAGTTTATTTCTGGCAATAACCTTAATGTGTTTCAATGGATTATAAAAATAAATTAAATTTTAATTTGTATATTTTTATGAACAAACCCTTATTTATAATAGAAATAAGAGATATTATTCTTAAAAAATCTCACTGCATAATATTCTATTTTTTTGGGGAGGTTTAGACTCAAAAGCTTTCTAAACTTTGCATATGCCTCTTTACTTGTTTTGTATGTAAAAATGGGCGTCCAAGTCAAAGTCATACTCAAGATATACTTTGATAAGAGGGGGTATGTATGAGATATTTTTTACTACACCCTTCGAAATGTTGTATTCAGTAAGGAAACGAGTTACTATTATTCTCATTATTTGTAACAATTGACCTGTTTTCTTACTTTTTAAACACCTGTATATATTTATTTTTATCATGAGAGAAGAGTTCTATTACAATACCCCGTCTCCCACAAAAACATCCATGATAAAATTCAAAACAATATTTAGGATTTTTTGTGTGAAAATCACATATATCAGAAAATTTTTATTGACTGTTATTCAAAATGTTTGTAGAAAAGTTTTTTTTAATAGTAACAATTAATCCATAAATATGGATTGGGAAAATGTTGGAGCAATTTCCTTAAAAACTTTTTTTCTTTGTGTACTTTTGCATTAAAGCGTTTTATAATAGTTTTATTACTGTAAGATTTAAATCTATACTCAAATTTACCATAACAAATCCTGACTGTACTTGGCTTTTATTTAATAACTCATTTATTTCATTAAATAAATTTTTATCATTAATGACCATACTCAAAGTCTTTGTTTTTATTTTAAATTATTATTAAAATTAACTTAAGTGAAAAATTAACTGAAGAACAAATTAAATTTTCAGTGTAATATAATTATTTTTAATTATTTAAAAAGTCCAAAATTTGGCAAGATTAAAAAATGCTAATCATTTAACAGTATAAACATTCATGTGACCATTTATACATAAATAATAAATTATATATCACAAATAATATAATTTCATTATAAAATCAGCATCATCATAAAGTAGTACTCATTTAGACAAATCAAATACAATTTTTTTTTGTATTTAAAATTATGTTTGAATAAACTATAAAAAAAAATACTTAATATTGATTACACTACATAAAAAAGTAGTTATACAGGGTGTTCAGTAAGTCAGGAAACGGGTTTCTATTGTTCTCATTGTTACAAACAATGAGAACAATAGAAACCCGTTTCCTGACTTACTGAACACCCTGTATATAGTGCTTAAAATTAAAAAAATAACTATTCAAGTAATAAAAAATTTTGAATAAACATTTTTACCTAGTTTTTCAAAGTATCTTTCTTTGTGTGCCCATTTAAGTAGTAAATTATTTTTTACAATAAGAAATATAAAATTTGTAAAGCACACACTAGTATATGGACTCCACATTTTATTTTATAATTTTTTAACAATTTTTGAATAAAGAAAAATGTAGTAAATGTATAATATAATTACTTAAAACTTAATAAATACTCATGATTAATAATTATAAAATTCATAGTTGTTAACGTAAATTCAGAATACAATTTTAAATAAAAAAAAATATCATAACCTAAGATTTTATTCAATTACTATAAATAAATTGTTCAATTAATTTAATATCAATGCTAAATAATTTAATAATAATTCTATTATAAATTTATCATTAAATAATTACACTATTAAATTATACTTAGTTAAACATATTAACAATCTAGGTTAATTTATTAAAAATAACTATACATATTTCATTTTATATAAAACTATTATATGTACATAACTTATTTATAATCATGACAAGTAGTTTGATTTTTTTTATAAAATTTAAGCTATACAATAAATTAATGCTAAATAAAAAAAAATAAGTAATTAATTAAAATTACAAAACTGATATAGTATTTTACTTCAATAATATTAGTTAAGATTATTAAAAATAAAAATTATAAATTAAAATATATTCATCATATGATAATAAATTAAATTTGAATGCACTTTACTGAAAAACAATACTTTTTTTGTAATATAAACAAAGATAAACACACATAAATTCTTTAAAGAAAATTTATTAAATGTAACTTAAATCAAATTATGAAATTGTTTCATAATATTTTTTCAAGTTTTATATAGAATGAAATATCAAGAAATTGTTAATTTGAAGAAAAAGACAACAAATAATTTTTTTTTTTGATTTAGAAATAAAGTTAAGAAAGTTTTTAATAAATAGTTTATCATTTTACATTTCAGAATCAAAAATACGAACTCTAACACGCTGTTTATAATGATATTCTTTTAAGTACGATTTTAACATTTTAGGCAGTTTTAATTGATTAACATCATCATAAGTAATTTGACTACATATTATAGCTCGGCAAGTATGCTGTAAAGAGAAAGTAAAATTCCTATGTAATGGTATGGTTAACATGGGTTCAAAAAACATAAAGCAACTTGGGTCTTTATAATGTTCTATCAAACCACATACTGTTGATGAAGCAAATACACCAGGATCTCTTGAATCAAAACTAAATAGATGATTCCATTGTTCAATGCGTGCATGTAATGAACGTCCATACTTTCGAAAACTAACAGAAAATAAATATTCTTCTTGGGCTGAATCTCTAAGTAAGAATGTTCCTTCAGGTTTATGCTCTAGAAGTTTTTCAGCTTCATATCTATCCATTTTTCCCCAATAAAATGAACAAGAAGTAATTTGATGTAAATCAGGAACTAAATAATGTATATAATCAATTGAAGTATGAATTCTATTGCTATTATTAAAATCTTGAGGAGCTGTCAAAGCTGACATTGCAGCTCTTTGAAATAGAGAGGTCAAATTGTCTAATGTCATTTTAGGTAAACTAAATTGTAACAACTGTATATGTAACCCTGGCCTAAATCCTGGTGGTGGTTCAATTCCTTCTTGAATTTCTTTTGCTCTTTCTTTATAAGCTCTATCTTCAAAATCATCACTAATGAAATCTTCACTACTATTATGATGTATATCAATAACAGCATCTTCAAAAGAAGGCAATATTACCTCTTGATTTTTAGAAAAATTTTCTAATGATTCAGATTCATTTCTAAAATCATCTTCAAAATGATTACTATTAATTGGTGATGCTGCATCAAAAACTAGACCAGCTCCTAAATGATGATCTTCAGTCCGACGATATCGTGTACATACACATGTATCACATTTAATATTTGGTTCAGGTATGCTTTCAGTAGTAGTACAACATTTTGAATTCCGTGACTTTAGTCGTGAACAATTTAAACGGAGTACCCAATGATTAAATTTTTTAGAACTCCCATTACTTTTTGATATTATAGAACTTTTTGAAATAGTTTCTATATCACTAGTTACAGATAAATCTCCAGATTTAATTTCTTGAATTGTTTCTGTAGGTACGATTTCATGACCATCATTATTACAAAAATAAATATTTTCAAAATAATGATCTGAGGAAGTAGAAGGATTTTCTTGAATACTACTATGACTTATAGAAACTGAACTTAAAGTTGGCTCGACCATGTTATCCATGTTATTTTTTGACGATTCTGGATTTTTCCAGTGAATAACATTGCTTAACGTACTTATTTTTTGTCCCATTTCGATTACCGATATATGTCAGGCCATTAATACAAAATAAATTCTTTGGGTATTCTACTTCATTTACTAACCATGTAGTGACAACAATCGGAGACTATTTTATTGTAAACCACGGGATTGACTTAAGACATTGACCGACATAAATTATTAAAAAAAAAAAATTGGTTGAAGTCTATCGACATTTCGACGTATTCACTAATAAACTAACATTTATTCAAAAATATTATTTAATTATTAATATTGAACATTAAACACACTGACTTATAATAAAATATAGACGAGTCGTAGGTTGAAATGATAACTCCAACCAATAATACTTGTATTATGCAGTTTCCTTGTATCTTATTATCGTAACATAGTATGATATGGTTGCCCTTGTCACTTTCACCTATTTTCAATTCTACCTCCATATATACATTGCATCGTAAATTAAAGTAATAGATAACAGCTTCATTTATTGGACAACACATTTAACGAAAAACACGACAAAAAGTCACTCGTTTTGTAAAACCCCTATTAACAATAACTTCAGTACTTACGTTTTCCTATTTTCATTTAGTATGCAGTAACATCAAGTAATTCAACTTTTATTTCAAAGTTTCCCGTAAATGGAGAAAATCTCTAAAAAAAAAATACAAATTAAAAAATTGCTAATTTTTGACATTTTTTCAATTATTTTTACTTAAAACTACCAGAACTTTTTCAAAAAAGACCAAATCAATATAATTTTTTTTTTATAGAAGCTTGATGTGTTTACCTATCATTTGATATATTTTTTTATGAATCTGGACCCTTACCTACCCACAGGGAGGGATTCAAAATGACAACATTTTCACAAAAAATTAACTTTTGAAAGTGTTCCGGAACTTTATTTTGTCTTCACGGTGAAAATGGTTACCATATGCTATTTTTGTGTTGAAATTCTCGATTTTATATTTTACATTTTTAACTTTAAAATGCTATAACTTTTTGAAAAATATATGGATCCATATAATTTTTTTATGAGAAATAGAAAGTAGAACTTTTTGTACTTAATTTTTGAAAGTGTTCCGGAAATATTGACACTTTTATATATATCTTAAATTAAAGCTTATGTAATATACTTTATTATGAAAAAAAAAAATCAAAGTTAATTAAAAAAATACAATTTTTGTAAAAAAATTCTATTTTATATTTTTAACTTTATAACACTATAACTTTTTGAAAAATGTATGGGTCGATATAGTTTTTTTAAGATAAGTATTATTTATATTCATCTTTTATGCGACATACTTTTTTAACACGAAGGAGGCTTTGTGCCATATTTTTCGTATATTGAGCGCCCGGCGTTTTTTTTTTCAAAATAACACTAGTATTTTTCGTTCATTATTGTTTTAAACTTATTTTAAAAATTATTTTTAACTTTTTAGTTCGATATGCTTTAAAAGCGTGTTTTTCAATTTTTTTTTAACTATATTAATTTTTAACACGCTTATATTAGTTTCACCTGTATGCAGGGTCGCATTTAGGAATTTTGCCGCTCGGTGCACTTAATTTTGCCGCCCCCCAAAAGTGTTGGATTGGGTTTTTTAGTT